AGGGACAGAGGCTCTTGTCTATTTTTTGAAGTTAAGCTGAACCAAATTTGTTTCAATGCCTCTAAAGTGAGACAAGGGGTGAATTGTTTTCAAGTTAATAAAAAATGTGTGCTATTCTGGCACGATAGTATGATGAGAAGTGTATAAAAGATCTCTAAGCTGGCTGCTTAGTTCTTCAATATTAATTATGTTACCAATATTTTTGAAGCTGGTGAGATGCTCCATGTTGCGGAAGCTTTTATTGACAAGAAGTATCATCCTACAGTAATATGTAGAGGTAACAGACGAGCCTTAGAATTTTATATCCTTCCGCCGAAGTTCTCTGAATTTAATATATGTACTTCTGTGACCAGCTTATGCCAAAGCTCTTGAAGATGCTGTTGCCGTGCTTGACAAAATTGCAATGACAGTTGATGTTGAAGATCGTAAGTTCCCTCTGCTTCTTACATTTCTGTCTTCTCATAACTCCACTATGAGTACTTCTATATTTTAGTAGTTCCATGCCTGGAGGTATTAGATAAATATAAAACACCTAGAGTTTTGGATGTCTTCTGTAGAACTTTTGGAGGTGCTTTTGGATAACTAGTTGAGTTTGCTATATGTTTTTAGTGTGGAAGAGAACATAATTTTGTGTGGTTGCTGGAATTGCAATTGCTAGGTCTTGATATGGGGTTGTAAGCAGAGAAACAGCATCATTATTTAAATAAATTCTTGAAATAACTTTTTGTTATGAACATCGAATTGAGTATATGGGAGTTACACATTTAACTAATTTTTGTGCTTTTCGTTTAACTTGATCCTTCTATCTTGGGTTTTGATTTTCTCATCGCTCCTTGCTCTTTTTCAAGTTTTAATTTTTTCGTGCTTATTTTTTACAGGAATAGATTTTATGCTATTATTGTAGCGTATATACGTTTTCTGAATGATTTTAACATGCATTATTACTCAAAATAATTGCTAACTGTGGCAGGTGAAACAATGTTGGGTTTGGTTAAGAGTTGCATCGGCACAAAATTTACTAGTCAATTTGGGGATTTAATTTCAGTAAGTACAATTTATTTCTATTACGCCCCACCCCCACCCCTACCCTCAAAGTGACATGAAATAAATTAAGAAACTTACATCTGGAGGTATTTGGAGCGAAAAAATAAATTGTTTCTTAATTTCGGATAGATGGCCTCTTCTTGAAGGTATGTACTATGTCTAACCTACAAGTGGGAATAACAGAAAGCAATCAAAGCATAATCTATATTTGTGCCTTGATATCTCATGAGTTCTATTACCTCACATCAAATGTTTTGAACATCAAGAAAGAAGACATGGATACATGACTCTTTTTTCCTCGAAAAGGGTAAATAATTAATTGTAAAGAAGCACATGCATACAGACTAGTTAACTACTAATGTTTCTTATGATTTTCTTCTAGTCATATAGATACTTGGTTCTTGTATTTCTTTCCATAGTGTGTTATTTATAATGACTTAAGAAGTTACTTCCCACAACTTGATTGATACTTTTGGGATTGAGATATAGTTCTCGGGATTTGTGTGTGTGTGTGTGTGTATTTTATGGAGCAACGTAAGGTGATGGAAATTCCATCTCTGATCTCTTGGTTCCAGCACCTCGACTTTGGTTTGGTAACCATGAGATCAGGTCTATACCAGGCAACTGGTTGATTGATATATGGATTTCAAATTAAAGAAGTCTTCCTTCAAGAAGTCCTTTACTGCAATAGGATTGAATAGTTCATGTTTTCAGTGTTCATTGTCTGACTTTATCATCAGGATTTAGCAATTGATGCCACAAGAATGGTTGGTGTGGAACTTGGCCAAGGGTTACGCGAGGTGGACATCAAGAAGTACATCAAGATTGAGAAGGTGCCTGGTGGGCAGTTGGAAGACTCTGTGGTGCTTAAAGGAGTAATGATGAACAAAGATGTAGTTGCCCCTGGCAAAATGAAGAGAAAGATTGTAAACCCTCGCATCATTCTACTTGATTGTCCCCTAGAGTACAAGAAAGGTGAGAACCAAACAAATGCAGAGCTCCTTAGAGAGGAGGATTGGACTGTCCTCTTGAAAATGGAAGAAGAGTACATTGAGAACATGTGCGCACAGATACTTAAATTCAAGCCGGATGTGGTTATTACTGAAAAGGGACTCAGTGATCTGGCATGCCATTATCTGTGCAAGGCTGGTGTCAGTGCAATCAGAAGGCTAAGGAAGACAGACAATAACAGAATTGCTAAGGCATGTGGGGCAGTTATTGTTAATAGACCTGATGAGTTGCAAGAATCTGATGTTGGTACTGGTGCCGGTCTGTTTGAAGTGAAAAAAATTGGGGATGAGTTCTTTACTTTTATTGTTGATTGCAAGGATCCGAAAGCATGTACTATACTTTTAAGGGGTGCGAGCAAAGATCTACTGAATGAAGTAGAAAGAAATCTACAGGTATCTCCTCAATTCCATAGGTTTAGCAGATGATAGCTATAAATCACACTATTTTGAGCTGCTCCTTGTGCTTTTTCAGGATGCCATGTCTGTCGCTAGAAACATCATCAAGTGTCCTAAGCTAGTTCCCGGTGGTGGTGCAACAGAGTTAACTGTATCTGCCATGTTAAAGCAGAAAAGTTCATCCGTTGAAGGCATAGAAAAGGTAAGTAAAGTTCGTCAAGTTATTACTCTTTATTTGCAGATTGAAACAAGTCACGAATATATGATCTTCTGAGACTCTTTGTGGAAATTGAAAAAAAGCCAACGGATGCTAATACTTTCATCCTTCTATCATATATGCAGTGGCCGTATGAAGCTGCTGCAATTGCTTTTGAAGCTATACCACGAACTTTGGCTCAGAACTGTGGTGTAAATGTGATTCGTACTATGACCGCTCTTCAAGGAAAGGTAGAAACTTTACTGTTTGAGGTGGATATGCAATATTCCTTAATTTGTGTTCATCTAAATTCTTTTCATTTATTTATCTATAGCATGCAAATGGCGAGAATGCATGGATAGGCATTGATGGAAACACTGGTGAGATTACCGACATGAAAGAGCGGAAGGTATGATATTATATTCTTCCTTCCTACACTCCATGACCCCATCAGAACTAGGATAGGGGATGATTCATGACACACGTGTATGTGTAAGAGTCTGTAAAATGAAGAATGAAAATAGATATTTTTATTTGATTAAACAATCTTTATATATGTGCAGATATGGGATTCCTATGCTGTAAAAGCACAGGCTTTTAAAACTGCCATTGAAGCTGCTTGCCTACTTCTGAGAATTGATGACATTGTGAGTGGAATAAAGAAGAAGCAAGCCCCTGGAGCAGGACAAGGTCCATCAAAACCAAAAATAGACGAAGAAGGTGATGCAGACAATGACCAGCTAATTCCGGAATGAACATGATATACTATGCTGCAATGGAAATGCTTATGCATTTGATAACCACTTGGAAGTTTTCATCTACTTCAGTATAGTCTGCCCTTGACTGATTGCTTGAACTTTTTGTGCTTGACATGTAACTTCTGCTGTTTTTGACTGCTGGCAGTTGTTGGTTGTATTTGAAATAGATTTTGTTTCAGTTTTTGGTTTTAAATTAAATTTGATGTTGCAAGTACAATGACTAATCAATGTAGGGGTATCATGTTTTTCAAGGATCCAACAAATTGAAGGCCATACAAATCAAATTCAGGAAACTTATGTTGAGTCATGAACTCAATTCTAGCAAACAATAATGCATTATTAAGTGCAGAATGTCAAAATAAACCTTAATATTCACTAAGGGTTTATTTGTAGGAGGCACAAACACCAACAATATGGTATCTTCTACTGCCACTTAAACAACTTAAAAGAACAGTCACTTAACAGTATTCTATATGTCGCCACTAAATCTGAATAGGTCACAAGCTTAAGGTGTTATATTTGCGGCAACAAACTAAAATTGGTCGGTGATAATTATTGTCGCTAAATGTGTACTATTTGCGGCAACAAACTAAAATTAGTCGGTGATAACTATTGTCGCTAAAACAAAATAAGTCGCCGCTAAAGGTACAGTATTAGGTAGAGACAATTATTGTCGCTAAAACTAAACTAGTAGTTGCTAAAAGTAAACTATTAGTGGCGCTGTTATTGCCGCTAAAACTAAACTAGTCGTCGCAAAAAGTGAACTAATTACTGGAGACTTTAATTACCGCTAAAACTAAACCTACACTATCAGTGGCGAGTTTTCTTGCCGCTAAAGCAAAAACCGTCGCCGCTAAAAGTACACTATTAGTGGCGACAAATGTTGTCGCTAAAACTAAAATAAGTCGCCGCTAAAAGTAGACTATTAGCGGCGACAAATGTTGTCGCTAAAACTAAAACAAGTCGCCGCTAAAAGTAAACTATTAGTGGCGACAAATGTTGTCGCTAAAACTAAAACAAGTCGCCGCTAAAAGTGTATTATTAGTGGCGACATATGTCGCCGCTAAAGATACTATTAGTGGCGACAAATATTGTCGCTAAAACAAGTCGCCGCTAAAAGGGTACTATTAGTGGCGGTCGCTTAGTGGCGACAAATATTGCCGTTAAAAGTACATTATGGCGACTTTTACTGCCGCTAATACTAAACAAGTCGTCGCAAAGTTTACTATTTGTGGCGACACTATTGCTGCTAAAACTAAACTAAGTGTAGATAAAAGTATACTATTAGTGGAGACTATTATTGCCGCTAAAGCTATACTAATTGTCACCGCAGTGTGAACTATTTGATAACTCATTGTTTATTATTTATCGCCTGCCCTAAAATACACCTTTTGTGGTAGCCTTAAACCGTCGCTAAAACTAGTATAATTCGAAACTAAATAATTCTATTTGTGGCAGCTATAACTTCCGCCAATACTCTTAAAAGTCACTTGCAAAGGTGTGTCATAAAGAGTATGGTGACTTCAACTGCCGGTTATACATATAAAATTCACCGTGAATAGTAATTTGAGACACTTGACCAAGCTACCTCCAATATACTTTCAAGTGTTAGTTTGGACCTGTGGAGAAATCAGCAAAGTACATACAATGTTTGATGGTATGCAATTACAGAAATATTCAACAGTATATAACCACAACAGGTTTCTGGTCGTTTTTATAAGACCAGTTCAAGACTCAAAATCTCTAGGTCAAAGTTGATAGCAACAGAAACAAATGCACTAAATTGGGACCCAAAATATACATATGAACGTATTTATCGTGGTCGGAACTTGGGTCTAACTGTGATCACCCCGGGCCTTGTCTCCTCATAACGATATCTACAGAACATGAGATTCACATTCCACTTAGTTTATTGATCGGGGAAATAAAAAAAAACATTTGCCAAAAGCATACAAAAGTTCCTGGAAAAGAAATATACCCCTTCTCCACGAGAAAGCTTCTTATAGCCATTGGAAGTGCAGCTTGTCCCCGGCTATGAATACCTTTACCTGTGAAAACGCAACAACACTTGACACTAGTCAGACAACTTTATCTTGTAAGTAAGTTAAGGTACTAGTAACAAAAGAGGCTCCAACTGAATAAATTAAAAAATAAGCGACAATCCATGATAAGTTTTGACACCGGGAAGTATGACCACCATTACATGTTCTATTAAAGGGAAGGGCTAATAACTCATTTAGATACATGATGTTATGATTCGGTAACATGTATGAGATTGAGCTCCATGATTGTGATTGACCAAATATCAAGCATAACAATTCAACCAGGATACTCAATCTTCCTAGTAAAGCAACTAAAAACAAAATATTTTAGAAAAACACATAATTCTCACAACACTTCGACACTTCCAGAAGATAGTAACAGAATGCCTAGAGCTAAGGAAATAGAGTGAATGATGAAGATTCATAAAGTAATAACAGGTCCAAACACACTCCAACTTATTACTACAACCATAATGAAGAACATGTTGCTGGTGAATACATCTAGACTTGTAAGATGTATCATATCCTTGAGCAACACTTTTCAAGAGAAAAATACCTGTTATGACCTCTAAGAAAGCTGGCCGCTGCTTATTCAATAGGTGGGACCCTTTGCTCTCATTCTCCACATCAAAAGAGACAGCAGCTCCAAAGCTGCGCTTATTCTGTGCCACCTGAGATTCAATCTTTTGCAAATGTTCTTGTAAGGCTTGAACTGCCTCTTTTGCATGAAGACCATGCAAGTCCAGTGTCCATTGATCATTCTTACCGTTGCAGGCAGTCAAAATTTCTTTTGCAGCCTGGGCATTTAGCCTATTAGCAGCATCCCACTCTTCTTGGGCTTTTAGAGAAAAATGTTGGGCAGATAAGTGGTCTCCTCTGAGATAGGCCTCACTGGCAGCCTTAGAATGTCGGGCTGCCGACCTGTTCATAGAATGAGAGAGGATTTCAGAATTGATTTAATTATAACTTGGATAAGATATCAACACGTTCAAAACCATGAAACTTATAACAATTACGGTTGTAATGTTAACAACAAAGAATGAAGATGGTTTGTTTCATCATAATATGTTGCCTAACTTAGTTTGTTGAAAAAGCGATATCTGCTATTGAAGTTGTTTGGCCCCTATAATTTTCTCCCAATGTTTCATACTAAAATATGCCAAAGATAATTAATTATCTTTATTTGATAACCAAACCTGGCAGAGCTTTGAGAGACATCTTCTGTTCATGGGATCTTAGAGAGTATCACTTCAAATATAGAAAAATCAATAACAAAAGAAACGTTCACCAACTACCACTGTCTTCCATTTATGCATAATATAAAAGATACTAAAATACCCTTTCATGGAAAACAGACTCAGTCTACCAGTCTTTACTGTCCTGATTTACCCTGGCAGAATTTTAAATATATTACCCACTAGGTACCTGCAGCAATTAGATTAAGGAAACTTTAGATATTCAAATAGTGGGCTATGTAAACTGTGGGTTGTCATTGAACTTTAGCTGCAAACTGTCTGCATCCCAACTTTCCACATTATTCTCTATTTACTTAAAAAGGTGTTACTACTGACCATGGTAAATGAAAGGAGGGAAGATGGGAAAGTTGTTGGAGTTCCTTTTCCTCTCATGAATGTAATCATATTTCTTTTCGATTCCCTCAAATTGGTAAATGGCTCAAATTTTCAATAAAAGAATCAGAGTTTTAATAATTTGGTGAAATTACTGGCCTGAATGAAACCCAGCCAATGCTTGACCCTCACTGATAAAGTTGTCCTTATCGTCAGTATAAACTATCCTTGCAATCTTAAATGAAATTAAAAGAAGACAGGGAAGCAGGGAAAATGTAAATCAATCATGTTTTCACTGAAAAGGTAAACGCGTATAGACAAGTGCAAGTAAATCTACCTCGTCATCTTCACTGCATCCTTCCGATGGATCGAGTAAATATCATCCTCTTCCCACTCAGGCTCAACCGGTACAAAGCTCATACTCCCCACTGCTCCATCAAAATGAAGTTTGTTCTCGTGAGAAACACAGTTATTTATTAGTTCCTGACTGTTGCTCTGAAGACACTTGGCAAGTGCATGGCTCAATTCATCCATATCCACATTGTCTGTCAATGACACACCTTTATTAGCAGCAAACTTGTTAATATTCATGAGAGAATTCTTACTACTAGACTTGACCCCTTTAGTATCTGTGTCTACGTCTTTAAGGTTTTGTATGTAGGGAGTATCTGCTTCTTCTGGAGTTGTTCTGTTGTCATGTGCAACATATGTATGATCAGGAGATACCATTGCATCCAACAATGTCAAGGCCTTATTGAAATCATTTACACCAGCCAAGACATCTGCGATCAAGGTGTCATCAGCCCATGGCTGGAGCTCTTTCAGCTTTCGACACACCTCTAGAAAACCTCTTTCTCGGATAAAACCATCAGTCTGGTTGAAACAAGAATCGCCAACTTGACTATGATTTGCATCAGACTCTTTAGTAGCCATTAACGATGGAAAACTTACAGACGGTAGCAGCAAGGATGAAAAAGGCTTCTCTAGAGTTGCTCCACTGTTCTTTGCGATGCTTTGAGATGGACCCCTTAAGGAAGTGGGCGGAACGGATAAGTTGGGGAAGGTTTCTCTCTCAGGCTCTGGCTCAAGATTTTGTTGCTTCAGTCTCTCATTGAGGTCAAATGCAGCCCAACCAGAAGTCTTAGCCCTCCTCCCAGACATCTTCTTATGTAGAGGACTTGTCACACTCGTAGAAGCAGCCATCTTAAGTTGACATTGAAAGCACTTAAATCATTTCAAGCCACACCACCACCTCTTCTTGGCTATAATTTAATTAGTGTCTCCTTAATTCAAGTTTAAGTTTTGGCTCCGGATTATTAAAACAATGACAGCTTTACTGAAAGAGTAAACTGCACAAAAATCCCACCATCAAATTTCAAATGAAAGATAATACAAGCAATAAGGCTGGTTGAAAAATGATGTTTAACTATGAAGGTTCATTCCAAACCACCAACTATCATAAGCTCTCCACTTTAGATCAGTCTACTTTTTTTTTTCCTTTTTAATATCTATGGTGTCGCGGCTAGCTTGTGCCCACATGATTAATTCAACAAACAGCCTGTCCAACCGACAAGCATAGGTTTTTGATGTGATCATGCTCACCAAGGTTAGATCAGGTGAACTCATCAAGTGTTCAAGCTAGGATTAAAACTTGAAATCTCTAGGTAGTTAGTCCCCACCTCAACCACTAGGACTTCCACTTGTGACCTTTTGATCAGTTACCACGATGCAAATTAATTTGAGTAATCCGATCCAATTAAAACATTGTATGGTATCTACCTCTCCACTTGTACATAAAAGTAAAAAACAATTTTTACAAAGCTTATCTCCTACAATAATTTTAGTAAAAACATGAACTTTCTACATTTTCAAACTTATTGCAGCATTCAGAAGCAGAAAATCCAACGTTAAGCTAAAAATTTAGGAAAACCATAATTAACATGTATTTCTGTTCAAAATCTTGATGCCGTACAATAATCACCTTCAGTAAAGTTTAATTTTCTAACCATCTCAAAACCTTTGTATCACTAAGAAGCTGTAAAATCCAACCTTTAGCTACAAATTTACGAAAACTACATTAACAATATTCCTGTTCGAAATCTTCATGTCCTCCTACAATCACCTTCAGTAAAATTAAAATTTTTAACGACACAAAATGTTTGCATCACTTAGAAGCTGAAAATCCAACCATCTCTACCTTTCTACTTTTTTTTTTTGAAAGTAGTAAAAATCCAACCTTTAGCTCACTTTTAGGAGAACTACAATCAATTTTGTATTCCTGTTCAAAACTTTCATGTCCTTCAATAACCACCTACAGTAAGATTTCAAATCTCTAAGGACTTCAGTTCCTTAGCAATCATTCAGAAACAGTAAACATCCAACCTTTTTTTTAGCAGTAAGAATCCAAACTTTAGCTTAACTTTAGGAAAATATCAAGTATTCCCTTCATTCACTTTTAGTTATCCACTTTTAAGACTTTACACGTCTCTTAAGAAACAATGATTAATATGAATACTTTACCATAATGCCCATCTTAATTGATGTTTAGTATAAGGTCTTGAAAAATAATTTGGGGAATAAGTGATTAACACCAAGGGAATGTCTTTTCTTAATATGTTAAAAGCTATGTTGCTCGGCCTCTTCAAACATTTTACTGGGTGCATGTCAGATCCTCTTTTTAGAGGATCCAACACGGGTGCGGCTGCAATTTTTGGAGAGTCCAAGCAATATAGGTTAAAAGTGCCAAATTAAAGTGAAAAACAATTATTTGAAAGCACACAAGTAAAAGTAAACAGAGAGAGTAATATATGTTCCTAATCAAAGCCTTAATGTCCAATAGTTATCAGCTTCACTAAACTTATAATTTCTTAAAGCTTAACCTAAGGGTGTGACTTAGAGGACTCCATTGAGATCGACAAGGTTTCAGAAACTAAACACAAGGTGATTTCTTTCTATTTGTTCTAGGTTACTTATGGTGTATGTTGTCGATGGAGGTATCCGTAGTCTAGGTGTGCACAGGATGGCCCAAACAACACAGTTATAAAATAAACGAATTCCTACAACATACAAAACCTTTATACCATTCAGAAACAACTAAACTCCAATTTTTCCTTTGTTTTTTTTTTGATAAAGCAGTAAAAATCCAACCTTCAGTTTAAGAAAAACAATTCTTCGTAAACACATGTTAGCAGGAATCAAGGGCAAAATCGTCAATATACCTTTGGGAGTTCTCTTCGCATATAAAAAAATTGTAAGATAAATCAGGAAAAACTGAACCGGAGGTATCGTATCCACGGGGTGAAAGGAGTATATGAAGGATTAGAGAGCTGAGATGAAAACTGAAGAATCGGATATTTGTTGTTGACGGCGGCGGAGACGGCGGACGGCGATGCTGATAGGGATCTGCTTCTGCAATCCATAAACAGTTGGTGAATTTTCCGATTGAGTCTCCGGCGATCGTCCAGAAGAAATGAGAAATTGAAAAAAAGGAAGAAAATGGAGAGGATAAAGAAGAAGAAGAATTCAAAGTAATTAGATTGAAACAATTGAAAGAAAAAAAAAATCTCAATAAACTCAACTTCAACAATTTTTTTAAAATTATTTTTCTAGTTTTTGAATATTAATTTTATGTGGTTTGGAAAAAAAAGGTTCCCACAAGGCTATAATTAATTTGTTTGTGACAACTTGAAAAGTCAATTTTGGCATGCTACATTATTAATTAATTAATTAAAAAAATTTAAATCAAAATGCCCTTGGTTATTCTACAAGAATTAGTTATGTAGTTTTTGTTGAATAGATTAATTTTTTCTTTCGTTGAGTATATCATTTAAATTAGTTTTTTTTTATGTAAAATCAAAATAACTTTTGCAGTGTGAAAAAAACACTCTTTAATACTATCGTACTCAAAATATAAAATATAGATTTCATCTCTTGTGAGGAGAGAAACATTCGCTTATGTGCAATAAAGACCATACCAATACTGATATTGGTAAAGCAAAGAAGTAAATATAATACATAATGTATAATGATTCTTAATGACTTCTCGATTTTTGATACATGAAATTAAATTTCTAACAATACATATGTTGTATTATGTGTTTCATCTCTCCCTTTTGCAAATCAGATGCAACTATTCTGATGATCTTAAGCAAGAACGACGAAGTTTTTCTTGAAGGATGGTCAATCAAAATTTGTATTGAATATTCAATGGAAATTATGTCATAAGTTTTTTTATAAATGAAAAATTACGATATTTAACATCGAATAAGGGATAAAAAATAAGTATCATGATTTATTTATTTTGTAATTGAGATGTTTTTTTAAATCAATAATCCATGGTTCGAGAACCAAACATAAATTGTCATTAGTTTTTTCATAATTGAGAAATTTTCGAAGGTCAATAATACACAATTTGAAAAATAATGTATTATAATTTCAATGATTTATCTCGGGATATCTAATATTGTGCAACATTTTAATCAAGAACAAAATTCAAAAGTCTTGTAGCTAAAATTTTACGTCCAGTTGAACTAAGACACGTAAATAAGACAAAGTGAATATCATATCTATTTTTGTATTTGCATTTTCTCAATGTCGATATGAAATAACTTCATAGAAAAAAGACAAAATGAGTATCATCTAAAATAATTATCTAATTAAATTTATCTATTACGATCAAATAATACACATCAACACATATGTTTACTTATTCAAAGTAAATCCCAATAACAATATATGTAATATAATCCTATAGAGCAAGACATAAAATACTATAACATATGTGAAATTTATTCTCATCTAAAAGATAAATATTTTATTTTTGATATCCACTTTAAAAAAAACAATCAAATCGTACCAAAACAACTAACTTATAACAAAAAATAACGTAGTTAAAAGTGAACCTCAAAATATAAATACTTTTTTTGTTTTTGCATAGAACATTCTTAAACCCTTCAAATGGCCTAAAGAAAAACCCCCAAAAATCCTTTTCATATAAAAGTTGCTTCTTTTACTTCAACTTTTGCACATTTGGATTCTCCAATACGAATTACTTCTCAGGTAATTGAAGACCCTTTTCTGTTTATTAATTTGTTTTTTTGGCGTTGTTTTAGGCAATTGGGGTGTTGAAAGCTACATTCGTCCATGGGGTGAGGGTGGGATGGGGGGATTCTTGTTTCATTGTTAGCGGGTTTCTGAAAAATGTAGTCTTTTTTATGTTCATTGAATTGTGTATGGATTTCTGGGGTTTGGTGATTCTTGTTGAAATAAATCACGGTTTCTTTAATGTACCATTTTTGTTGTATAGTTGGTTTTCATCTGTTTGTTTGTTTGTTTATGTTTGGGACAGTTTAAGGCAATGAAATGTGAATGCAAGTGGGATTTTTTTGGAGATGAAACAACATTATTATGAAAATGAGGAAGACTGTCAGTTTTTTCCTTTTTTGGGCGAAAAGTAACTATGAACATTGATTGTTGATAATTTGTGTGGTGTGTTGTAGTGATCTTTGAATGTTGTCTTTTTGTATACTATCTGAGGCATGAGACCATGTGCAATGTTGTTTCTCCTGTGACTTCTTAGTTGGAGGAAGCCTTTAACCGTTCTTCAGAGCTTCGTGGGGTGGGTTCTATCTTTACTGTCATTAGATTCTTGATTAAGCTATGTCAAAGGGAAGAATAACTAGAATTATAGAGAAGTATACCTAAATGCTAATATCTTTTAGAAATGCTCTGTTATTTTTCTGTTGTATGTGCTAATTTTTCCATTAAAGATATAATTTTGATACTCCCTACTCTAAGTTTTGGTTTAACAAGGCTCTACTTTAGTTAGTATATCACATTCTCTTCGGTAAATGAATTCAGTTAGCTTTAGGTCTTGGTTAAGATCTCCCTATCTGCTATATTTGAGTTCATAAAAAGAAATGTTTAGGGATCTGCAGAGAGCTCACTTTAATTTCAAACGTGGTTTTGCAAGGAAAACAAGTACCTCACGGTGCTTCTATTTTGCTGTCAAATGATGGAAGAGACTGAAGCTATATTTTTTTGATGAGTAGTCAAATTTTATCAACTATAAGGGCAAATAGCGTCCGTATACAAGGAGTATAGCTAAAAACTAGGAGTATACAAATATAGTTATATATAAGTAGAACTTAATGTTCTATGCTAAGAGGAATCTCATGAGTGAGCCAAAAAGAAATAAAGGTTAAGAAGCTACTCTTCATCAGTACAAAGTCTCTCTCTCTCTATACCCTCATAGGCTGTTCTATTTCTTCATCTCCAGACTGTCCACATAACTGTTATAGGAGAAACATTCGCACTTTCTATTTCTTCTCTTCCGTCTCCAAAAGTTCCAACTGGTTCGTTCTCAAGAACCTTGACTATTGTTGTTTCTTTCTTGAGAACCTTGACTTTGGTGTTTCTTTCTTGAAATGATTGTTTTTTTGTCTAACCTCGTTCAACGTCCGCCTTCAAAGAACTCGTTTTTTTGCAGACACAATTTTATCATGAATGTATGTGAAAGCAACAGCCTATAAATGGTGATTCAAGTTGAAACCCCTTTAAGTGTATCAAGCTTCTTGACATTGTGTTCTATAATAATAATGCCATCTTACTTGATATTAAGAATGTGGAAACTGCCATTATGAGGAATGAGTTGCTGTGAGCAAAAATGTACAAGTATTAGATGATATGAAAGGCGTTGATGAAGTTGTCTGTTTTTTCCATGGATATACTTGAGAATCCAAATACTAGAGGAACTTTCATCTCTCTTGAGAATGTTTGATATGGTTGCAGCGCCAAATCTAACACTTCTCAAGTGCAACCAACTAGTGAAATATAACGGCATGGATGATTTTCTATAAGTTCATGGCTTTTATGAAGAAGATTTTCTTGGATTTTGACTGTAAAGGTGCACGTAGCTTGTAAATAAGTGTGAGCTGCCCACTTGACATGGCTTGCTCACCTCCCACACTGACCTACATATGCATCAGTCCATACATATGGAACAATGATGACTAGAAGTGCTAAAAGGGGATGGGATCAATCTAGAATCACATGGAAAGGAATTATTACAAAGACCTACAATTTCTTCGAATCAGTGTTGGCTTAGCTAAAATTAGGGCACAATGGAAGATAAAGATTCGTATAGGTGATATCTTTTAATAGAGAATAGTTTTAGTCTTGTTAGTTGTTAGTACATTCATTTTGAACCTGTTGCTTTTCTAGGAGCAATTTGACCTAATCAAGATATATGTAAACAATATATTTTTCACATTTTATTTTGTTTTGTATGAATTATGATGATGACATGAGTTAAGATTAAACAGAGAAACATGGTCAGTGAGGTATCATGTAGCCGACCCCACCTTGTTCGGGATTGAGGCATAGTTGTTATTTCTGATTGCATATTTAGTCTTAATTCATTATTGATGGTTGTTCAACACACATTTGGTTTTTTGATATAGTGTGCTTAACTTGTTGGTTTTTCAATATAGTACTTGTTGGTTTTTTGGTATACTGTTCTAAACTTCAAATTGGTACATGACAGCTTAAAATGTTGATTTAATGATTATTCATGATCAATTGACCAAAATTCATCATGTAGGACATTCTCTTTATACTTTTTAAAATCCATTTGGAGATATATACACCAAAGCATGGATGATGTCGACATAGAATTGGATGAACTGGAATTAGTTGCTGCTGCTGCTGGTTACCACTATTATAATTGTATAGCTAGGCAGCCTTCTCATGGTTCAACTCCTAAAGGGTCTGGGTTCTTGACCGAACTGCTCAGTGCCGACAATGATGTGTGTCGGGAAATGTTAAGGATGGATAAACATGTTTTTCACAAGCTATGTAACATCCTTCGAGAAAGAGCCATGCTACGTGACACAGCTGGTGTTATGATAGAGGAGCAATTGGCAATATTTTTGAACATTGTTGGCCACAATGAACGCAACAGGGTAATACAAGAGCGTTATCAGCACTCTGGTGAAACAATAAGCAGGCATTTTAATAATGTATTGAGGGCACTTAAGTCGTTATCGCGCGAGTTCCTTCAACTTCCTCCAGTCAGCACTCCTCTCCAGATCCTTGAAAGTAACAGATTCTACCCGTATTTTGAGGTTAGCCTCTGATCCCCTTCTTTCTTATTTCATTTCATTGTAGATTGGACTTATTGACCTGACTATTTTATTACAGGATTGCATTGGTGTCATCGATGGCATGCGTATCCCTGCTCATGTGCCAGCCAAGGATCAATCTCGTTTTCGTAATAGGAAGGGTATTTTGACCCAAAATGTATTGGCAGCGTGCACATTGGATCTCCAATTTATATTTGTCTACCCTGGCTGGGAAGGCTCAGCTACAGATTCACGGGTACTGAGAGCAGTTCTCGATGATCCTGATCAAAACTTCCCTCCAATTCCTGAAGGTTGTTCATAATTATTGTACATAATAGTTTGTCTTACTTTAGTTCATTTTTCTTTTCTATGCATACTCAAACAACTCATTGATATTTATCAAAAACTGTCTGTTGCAGGGAAATATTATCTTGTTGATACAGGT